TTCATTACCAAATTAAACAGTATACAAACAAAAACACGTTTAAAAGTTAAAACTTTGGCTTCTATATAGATAACTCTGATTTTAAAACAAAAATCACAGAAAATAATTTTTAATAAAAATGCATAACATGGAAAAAAAAATGATATGCGATATTTAAAAAAAAGTTTTAAGATGCATAACATTTTATTAAATATTTTCATAGTTTTTAAAGCCAATTTACAAATCACTTCCTAATACAATTAAAAAAAAATTGCGTTGGACAAAATAACTTTCCTAACCAAGATTTTCGAAAGAAAACTTTACTCCACCACAAATTGTAAATCTAGAAAAAATAATCTTTTTACCAATGAATAAATGTGAAAGATAAATATCACAGTAAATCGACAAATAAAGTGATATACAAATACAATCAAACATCAATTATTCTCTCATTATGATTCAAGATTCTAATGAAATAAACAGAACGATGCATTCCAACATTTCTGTTGAGGATATGGAGATGTCTCTATAGAAACAAAATATACTATAATATATCTAATCAATAGATTTTTACAATATGTTTTAGGAAACCGTAGTGAATATAGATAAATACATATAAGTTAAGGATTTGTGTCAACAAATATGTTTTCTTATGTTGTAACAGTGTTTTCTCTTTTTTGCCTATTACATTGTATTTATACAATTATTTGGTGCAAATGGTTAGTTTTCTAACTTAGATAATTATTTACTATAAACACTAAATTTATATGATATTAAATACACAAATAATCAATACATTATAAATTATTGCATATTTTACCATGTTAACTTTAAATCTCATATAACACGTGGCAATCACTAGTATAAAATATTATATAGGTTTTTTTACATGATTTTTTTATTTAACTCTATAATATTTGAATTGTTTTTGTGATTTTATCACATAATTAATATATATTTATAATGTTAAGAATATTTTCACTTATGTATATGCTAGATTAGGACCTGCGTTGATACGCGGGTAAACACATTAAAAATTATTATTATCAAAATTTAAGTTTTAATTAGTTTCCCATTAAATAAAAAAAATATTTTGAATTATTTAAACATGG